AGTGCTACTGGCAAATTGGCCAAATAGTGGCTCTACATTTACAGTAACAAGGCTGAAAATAACAGGCCTGCATGATAAAGATAACAGTGTTAATCGCTGTGTAGTTCAGTTCAGTAAAGTTCTGATGAGGTAGATTTGTCTCCAGATTTTCTGCAGCACAGAGAACAGTAATTCCTTTGGTTCCAGTTGTTATCTAGCTGGCAGGTTAATGTGAACATATTAATACCCTCCTCTGTTACGGTAAGTGTGGTACATCTGCTGTCTCAGGTGTATTATTAGTGTTCTTTTTCACAACGATGGTTTTGTGACTTCAAAGATTTGGTCTGGTAGTAATATGACATCATTCAAACAAAACTTCCAAAGCACAGGGATTAACAGTTCCTGCCAAGTGTTGTGTCGAATGTCTTCTAAATTTAATACTCAGTTTTGAGTCTGTTATTTCTAAGGAACAGTTGTTTTACAGCTAATCATGCCACATCACATTTAAAGGCAGGTTCAGAAAAGTCTCTTTTATTTGTTGCCAAACAAATCTCACGGTTGACTTCTAGTGGCTTTGAAACAGTGTGTGTCCCCATGAGTGATGTGACATAACAGATTCAGCCTGCAACTCAGATTGTCAAGTTTTACATCCCTGCATCTACAGTATTTTCAAATGTGACTGATTCAAGTAACCAGTTGCCAAAAGCACAAAAGCAGAGATATCAGCAAACACTTGAGAAGCTAAAGCCTCATAGCACTATGTACTGTATATTTTAAAAAGCAATTCAGAGTTGTTTTGGGGGGGGTCGCGCAGCTGTTAGTGCTGTCGCCTCACAGCAATAAGGTTTAGGGTTTCTGTGTGGAGTTTGCATGTTCTTCCTGTGCCTGTGTGGGTTCTCTCCAGGTACTCCCCAGCTTCCTCCCACAGTCCAAAAACATGCAGCTTAGGTTGATTGGTGACTCTAAATTGCCTGTAGGAGTGAGTGTGAGTGGTTGTTTGTCTACATGTCAGCCCTGTGATAAACTGGCAATTTGTCCGGGGTGTACCCCGCCTCTCACCCAGTGTCAGCTGGGATTGTCTCCAGCCCCCCACTATTCCCACTATTCAGGAATAAGTGGTATAGACAGACAATGTATTTGTTGTGGAGAGTCAATAACCCTTTATTTTGCAGGACCCATAAATTCTTATAATATAGAGGAAAGCCAATATGAACCCATGAATCCTTAAAACGTCCTGGGGAAATTCCATATTATTTCATCCTAATTACAGGGAACATGGAGACACAGTTCAAATGGTACACTTCCAGTTAATGAATATAAATTGCTAGCATAACATAGACTTTTAGTTAGAGCCACACAAGTCAATTAAACTGAATTGATGTCAAAATGCTAAATATGCCTCTAGGCAGGCACACAGTTCAACATATTATATATGAAGATGTCCATCAAAATAATTGACAAATTATGTACCTAATCATCATGGTTAGAGCAACAAACACTTGATTAGTCATGCTATGTTTCATTGATCCTTCTACCCCAGTCTCCTCCCGGCAATTTTGTTGCAATGTAATATCACTTGATCACTAGACTTCTTCCCTGGCTCCTGTCACCAGAGAGCAATGACTGATGCTGTTGTTTCTACTTGGGTTGACAGCCTTGTTAAAATGCTGCAGGTCTTCCAAAAAAATATTTGGGAAAACTAATTAATACTTATAAATGGAACAAACTAACTAAACACAAATGTCTCATAACATTTCCTTTATCTGCTATTAGTATTACAGGAAGCATTCTAGAAAAGTATGAAATTTCAGTCTAGTAACATGTAACTGCAATATCTTTTCAAATTGATTTTGATTTAACAAACTACTGAGTTTAGAGGCAAGATGCATTAAGAATCACATATTATCGAGTGCCTCATTGTGAACTACGTGGCAACTGGGATATTTGTATCCATGGTGATTTGCTTGTCTCCAAGGTCTGCAGTTTCCTAGGCAGCAACAGTTGTTGCTTTGTCCGAGCAAGCCTTAAAAAAGTCGGGGCTTTTTATTTATTTATTTTTGAGGGGGTAAGGCATTATTTTTTGGTTACTGCAGATATTCCTTTGACAGAAGAAGAATATGTTTATGATTAACAATTTATTTACCATTTAGCAATATAACATGGATTTATGTACGCTAGAGAGCAAAAGAGGAAAACCTAGAATAGAAAGATAAATAGACCCAAAAATAGAAGTCTGAGCAGGGTAGCCCAATGAAGGAGAAAAAAGAGAGTGAATAGAGAGTGAAATGGAGCCAAGAGAATGGCAAGAGCATGTGGGTGTCTCTTCCTGAACAGAAGAATCAGATTAAAATAGAACAACAGCCACATGACGACAGTGTGATTGTCAAACACCTGCAGTGGAGAGACAGAAAGAGAGAAGCGAGAGACAGAGACATAATAGGATGTAAAGGACAAACAGGGAAACAGACAGGTGACAAAGAGACAGGGAGAAAGGGGTGGAGGGAGGAGTTTGTGAACAGTGAGGCTATGTAGAACATGAGAGAGAACAGAGCAACAAAGGGGGGAGCGTGAATCAGATACAGATGAGCAAATGGTTGAGAACAAATGAAAAGAAAGGTGAGGATGAAGAATGGAAACCATTATTGTATCCTCGCTGCCAGAGTTTGTGTGGCTGGTGTTTCCCCCGCACACTCCCATCAGTCTCCCTTTTTCCTGCAGTGGTGCTGGAACAAGAGGAAGTAGATGAGCTGAGGTATCATTGTCTGTAACAAAGGTGGCATCATGCATGACACATCTGTTCCATTTTCACAAGGTAATTTTTGAGGAGCAGTGATATTTGGACAGCACAGTTGTTGACATTTGAGAGGACACGAGTCCATCAGTGAGGACTGATGGCAATCGGAACTGTACTATCTTACTGCATCACTAGTCTGTTTGCATCAGGAAGAAACCAAGCCACAAATATTACTCAAAAACTATAGTTAATTATCAAATAATGTCAAAATATAGACAGGGACATAAATAAGTAAAACTTTTTATAGACCTTTAAGTGTTGAGTTAATTATTGAGAACAAAGACTGAAACAAACCATGTGTATTGAAACAAACACATGGGTAAAAGATATTATCAAGGGCCATCATCAACAACTTGGTCACTGTTATCATCAGTATAACTGTAGGAATGACACCCCATGTGGGAACATTAGTGCTGCTTCAGTCACCACGGACAATAACCATCAGCAGAGGTGATGACACAGGAAGAGTCACTCAGTACAAAGGACACTGATGCTGCTCAGTCACAGCATGAAACAAAAGGAGACATGAGACACTTTTGAACATGCAGCAGAGAAAGTCACTGATTTACTCACACAGACGCTCATCAAAAACAGCTCCACACTGAACAAACTGGCACACGGATAACCAAGACAGCACTCCGAGAGTGCAAACCTCCGCCAAGGCCATGGTGCCATTACACCTAAATACTACCATGCATGGGGACCATCAATAGACCAAGTAATCAACTAGATACCTGTTAGTTAGACTGTTTCACTAGCCTGATAATAGTAGATTATCTGTTCTGCATTACTTCTAACCTTTTTCCATTTTTCTTCTTCAGTAGAAATGTAATATTGATTAGAACAGATGAGAACAGCACCCGTTGTCTCTGGATGTGCCGAACACCCTGACTGAGAACTGGCAGACGTAACTGCCAGAACAGTGTTGTCACACTTTACAGCGTGTGGATCTGAGTCAAATCGGTCTTGTTGGATTTGTTTTAGATGAGCTCATATGACATTTGGCCATGGGCTTTAATTAAGACACGAGGTCTTAATAATACTACAAAATTGTGTGATGGGAGTGATTGATTTTCATTGTAGATACTTATAGCACAGTAACCGCAAAGCGTTGATTGTGTGCTCATGGACTATGAAGTGAATTTGTCCTGATCCACAGTCACAGCAGAGAACTCTTCCTGATTGTATCTGTGTCTCTTGGCTTATCTCCAAACCTTCCTGCAGGGCCTCAGCACTTGTCTCTCTCCTCTGAGTGATGTGTGAATCTCATCAGCAAACTGTTTTCTGTCTTTACTGTATGTGATTGGGTTCTCCTGTTTAGTCTGTCAGTTCTTGCCTTTCTATGTGTTGCTCCAGGTCTCAATATCTGTTTCTCACTCTTTACGTCTATCATCCACTTCCCCTGAGTCATGCTGAGGAAGTATTTATGATTTATGCTCTGTTGGCTGGTCTCAGCGTAATAAATTGTATCAAAACTTTTTAAAAACTGGCTTTTTTCTTCTTTC